ACATTCACACTGACATTCACACTGACATTCACACTGACATTCACACTGACATTCACACTGACATTCACACTGACATTCACACTGACATTCACACTTACATTCACACTTACATTCACCCATTTTCATGTTATACGACACAGCAGGTAAACTCCATCTAGTTACCTTATCACCTGTATCCTGGTGATACATTAATCACAATAATTTGTGTTCTTAAAATGCAAATCTCAAATAGAGTTGAAAGAAAGAAAATAGCTTCCTATGAAAACCTCTTTTATTCTCTTTTATTATAAATTATATTCATTTAGGATTCATTTTATTCCTTATATATATATATATATATATATATATAATTATGGTATATTTAACACACAAGTGACCAGCGGCACCGTGACAATAGTCACAACTGGTTGACGTGCTTCAGGGTGACACCTCCTGGTAGCCCTCGTCTCTGCAGCTCATCTTTGAACTGCACAGAGGAAACAGGAAGAGACACAGTCACGTTTGTGTAATTCACCACCAAAGTCTTTTCAGGGGTTGCAGAGGGGAGACAAATGCAGTAGTCATCAAATGGGGGGGGGGGGGGGGGTNNNNCGTACCGCAAGAGGGGGGGGGGGGGGGATTATACCATGACAGGGTCACACACAGTGAGAAACAACTATTCACGCTCACGTTCACACTAATGGAGAACGTAGATCTGAATGAACAATGATCAACTCAGCATCTTTTTACTGTATGTGTGTCTGATTAAAGGGACCGAAACATACACCGTCGCAGTTAGTCATTTAGTAAACTGAAAAATCCTCAGATGCACAAACTGACCACAAGGGGCAACAGAGCACCAGCAGCTGTGTCTCTGAGGGCTGAACACAATGGTTTTCTTTATGGACTTTGGTGTGGGCGATCGCGTGGCTTATGAAGGCTGTCTAAACTGATTAGTTTAACAAAAGAGGAGACAAACCTGTTGAGCGACAATCTCTCTAAGCTCCTCCTCTGACAGTGGAAACGGAGAAGAGATCTTCAGGTTCACACCGATCAAAGCTGGAAGCACAGTACAATAATCAGACACCAACCCACAGACGTTGTCTGTTGGAGTAAAACAAATCTTTGTCTCTCAGATTCTCACCTGGGTGAAAGTTCGTGGGGGTAGTAATGACTTTTTCCAGTGTTACAGCAGTAGCAGTGGGTGCTGGGGTACTACTGTGTGGAGCAGTGGGTGGAGCAGTGATATTGGTCAGTGGTGTATTCATTTGTGTAGTATTTAACATTGTAATTGATGCTGGAGTAGAAGTAGTCACTGCAGTGGTCAGCTGGTTAACTGTGGATGAAGTGGGGATAGAGGTAGTGATTGGTGAAGTCGTTGTGGGAGAGGTAGAAATCGTTGCCTGGAGGGAGGTAAAGGTGAGTGGAGCAGTAACGCTTGTGTTGTTATGAGTAATTGTTGGAGAAGCACTCTGTGCACTGAGTGTGACATTTGTGGTTTGTTGAAAAGTTGTCGCCTTCGGTGGCGTAATAATGGGTGGAGTAGAAATTGCTGTTGTGTTGATTAAAGTGGTGGCTGCAGTGGTAACGGTTGTGTTTACAGGGGTATTTGAGGGCGTAGCCATAATGTTTGCATCTATGGCTGTTGGTGAAGCATCGATTGTTGCATTAGACAGAAAGGTTGCAGGGGCAGATGTAAAGGTTGGATGTTGTGGGGTAGTTGTAGGTAGAGTAGTGACGGTTGTGTGTATTAGCGTAGCTGTGGGTGGAGCAGTTGTGGGTGTATTTGATGTGGTACTTGTGGGTGGTGCAGGAATTGTTGTGTTTTGTGGAGCAGTTTCAGATGAAGCAGTGCTGCTTCCATTTACTTGGGTGGTTGTGAATGGGGCAGTGATGGGTGGAAGTGGAGTGGATATACTGGTGGAGGTTATGGGGGTAATCACAGGTGGAGTGGATATACTGGTGGAGGTTATGGGGGTAATCACAGGTGGAGTGGATATACTGGTGGAGGTTATGGGGGTAATCACAGGTGGAGTGGAAATTGTTTTAGTACGTGTGCTTATTGTGTGTGATGAATTTTTGATTGTGTTTTGTTGGATCGTTGTGGGTGGTGTTAGAATGGTTTCATTAGGTGATACAGTAATTGATAGGTAGGAAACAGTTGTGTCTATTAGTTTGGTGGTGGGTGGAGGAGTGTTGGATGGAGCAGTGCTGGTCATCTCAGAGACGTTAGATATGACTGTAATGTTTGTGTGCAGTGTTGTAGTTGTGGGTGGAGTGGTACTTGTAGGTGGAGTAACCATAGTTGTGTGTGGTGATGATGTTTCAACAGGAGTAACGATAGGTTGGTCAGTTATGGGTGGAGTTGTGAGTAAACCAGTGAGGCTTGGTGTTGGAGGGTGAGCTGTGGAGGTACCAGCAACTACAGTCGGTAGCTGGCTGGTTATTAATGGAGTAGTGATGCCTGTTGTTGAAAGGTCAATGGAAGGTGTAGAAACAGTTGTTGTTGTCATTTGGTCAATGGTAGATGTAGCAACCATTGTTGTTGTCAATTGGTCAATATAGGGTGTAGAGACTATTGTTGTTGTCAGTTGGTCAGTGGAAGGTGTAGCAACTATTGTTGTTGTTAATTGGTCAATGTAAGATGTAGCAACAATTGTTTTTGTTAATTGGTCAATGGAAGATAAAGCAGCAGTTGTTGTTGTTGTTAATTGGTCAAAGGAAGGTGTAGCAACAATATTTGTTGTCAATTGTTTAGTGGAAGGTGTAGCAACTATTGTTGTTGTTAATTGGTCAATGGAAGGTGTAGCAACTAATGTTGTTGTCAGTTGGTCAATGGAGGGTGTAGCAATTATTGTTGTTGTTAATTGGTCAATGGAAGGTGTAGCAACTAATGTTAATTGGTCAGTGTAAGGTGTAGCAACTATTCTTGTTGGTAATTGGTCAAAGGAAGGTGTAGCAACTATTGTTGTTGTTAATTGGTCAATGGAAGGTGTAGCAACTAATGTTAATTGGTCAGTGTAAGGTGTAATTGGTCAGTATAAGGTGAAGCAACAGTTGTTGTTGTTAATTGGTCAATGGAAGGTGTAGCAACTATTGTTGTTGTTAATTGGTCAATGTAAGGTGTAGCAACAGTTGTTTTTGTCATTTGGTCTATGGTAGATGTAGCAACAATTGTTTTTGTTAATTGGTCAATGGAAGATGAAGCAGCAGTTGTTGTTGTTAATTGGTCAAAGGAAGGTGTAGCAACAATATTTGTTGTCAATTGTTTAATGGAAGGTGTAGCAACTATTGTTTGTGTGGTCAATGGAAGGTGTAGCAACTAATGTTAATTGGTCAGTGTAAGGTGAAGCAACTATTGTTGTTATTAATTGGTCAATGGAAGGTGTAGCAACTATTGTTGTTGTTAATTGGTCAATGGAAGGTGTAGCAACTATTGTCAATTGGCCAGTGTAAGGTGTAGCAACAGTTGTTGTTAATTGGTCAATAGAGGGTGAAGCAACACTATTTTGTGTTGTGTGTGGAGCAGTGGTTGTAGTTGTTGACTGTGGCTCTGTTGTAGGTGGAGCAGTGATTGTAGTTGTTGACTGTGACTCTGTTGTGGGTGGAGCAGTGGTTGTAGTTGTTGACTGTG